GTTAGAAAATAGATCATGGCCCATCCCAAGATATGCACCAAGAAATCAAAACATACAAGAGCACTCAGACAAGGCGGCAGTAAGACAAGACATCTGTAAGGATTTCTGGCTCAAACTCCTCCAAACATGGAGGAAACTCCCCCTGCCGGATAAGCACCCCCTACTGAGATGGGAGGAAGTCATCCGACAGCCCCTTTTCAATAATGAATGGACTAGAGACCCTCAAGGATATTCTCTACATTGTAATGCAAGTCCATGGAAAGGGTGGATAAAGAAGGATATCACAAGGATAAAAGATATATGGGATAGTGATTCCAAGGACTGGTTATCCCCTAATTCACTACTCGATAAACTCCTGCGCTGCCACCATATGGAAGAAAGTCTACAAACCATCATAGATCTAATTCCGCTAGACTGGGTTTGAATCCTCAAGAAAGATAAAACTTCCAGGAAAGGGATTGGGTAGGCCTAAGAAATGAGTGTAATGAACCCAGTCTGGCAGATACTCAGAAGTCGTCAAACATCAGTAGTCTCATTATCTGCATCAAAGTCTCCAAACTGTGAAGTGATATCTCCAACAGTATCTCATTACCATTACAAGAAGAGAGTGGAAGGGGAATAGACAAAGGAGAATATGAAAGATCACAAATAATCCCTTCAGACCCCTCTCCTTCTTCGGCCTTCTTCCCTCTCCACGTCGACAATGATAATAAGTATATTCCTGATCACACACAATAGTGCCACGTGGCACTTTATCTCGTGAAGACCATGAAGACATAGCAGATTCCAGTGATGATGTCAACCTCAGGTGAGTACCCGACCTCCTTGATTCACAGATCCCGATCTTCCTCCTCCTCAGAAACAGTCACCTCATGTAGACAGCGTGGACAATGCCACGTCAACAGGTGAGGCAGGTGGCATATGCCACATCAGCAATGGAGACCATTGGCAGCACCACATCAGCAAGGTAGACATGTGGTAGCGCCACATAAGCATGCAATGTAAACCAGAGGTAGCACCACATCAGCTCCTCACAACCAGTCACCTCATGTAGACAATGTGGACAATGCCACGTCAACAGTCGAGACAGGTGGCATATGCCACATCAGCAATGGAGACCATTGGCAGCGCCGCATCAGCAAGGTAGACAAGTGGTAGCGCCACATCAGCATGCAATGTAGACCAGAGGAAGCACCACATCAGCATATTGTGTAGACCAGAGGTAGCACCACATCAGCATGCCATGTAGACCAGAGGTAGCGCCACATCAGCATGCAATGTAGACCAGAGGTAGCGCCACATCAGCATGCAATGTAGACCAAAGGTAGTGTCACATCAGCATGCCACCTCAGCAAGCCTGGTGCACAATGCAGAGAGCGCCAGTATGCTGCCTCCAACTCGTGCCGTCGTCCGCATCGCCAGTGCACAGCCAGCGTCTAGCCAGCGTCGAGCCAACATAATGCCAGCGTCTAGTCAAAGTCGAGCCAGCAACAAAGTAGCATAGCAAGACTGAATGCTTGACTCACTCGAGGCCAGCCTTAATAGCATTTGTCGAGGCTGTCTGGCCTCGGGTGCTTTCCCCACAGTCGTCCAGATTGACTCACATCTGAGGGCCCGGATTGTGCAGTTTGCAGACTTCTCCCTTGGACTTGATGCTGTCTGGGTACCTGCATACAAACAAGTGTGTGTGCTTGACCAGCGGACTAGGCTAGGTACCTTTGGACTTTGACTGTTGGGATCTCGACAATTGACCAAAGTCATATGTCGCACGTCCAGGCCCTGGGTCCTCGTATGGGGTCCTTTTTGCCCCCGTTTTGGCCTGGGCTGAAGGCGACCAAGTTGGCCCTCAGTCTTTCCACGAGACATATCGCATGGGTTATTGCATGAGCCTCAAATGATTGGAAATGTAATAACCCTCTCTCCAGACTCAAATGCTCTAGTCTCCCTCTTTACTTTAAACAAAAACAAGTGGACCCGCCGCGGCTCCGCCCGCGGCGAGAAGAGCAGAGACTGTGAGAAGGGAGGCCAGGTTGCCCTCTCCTCTTTTCTCTACCGTCGTTGTTGTTCCTTCTATTGCTTCTCCCCTATCCCGACCTCTTTCTCCATAGATCTCTCTTCGCTTCTCCTCCTTTCCGTTAGGTGCCACGCGGCACACAGATCCACGCGGCAAAAAAAAAAAAAAAAAAAAA